CTGTCATAATTTTTGGTATAATAGTTGTGACTTATTCACACTATATACATTTGGCTTCCGCAATAATACCGTACCGAAATATATACTAAGTTACATAATACACATATTATTGATTATAACATACTAAGTTACATAAATTCGACAAAGATTTTGTCAACGTTAATATTCAAGCCGAACAAATCGAAGTTACCGTACTGAATACATCGAAACCGAAAGAAGAAAAACTGAACCATACCGAATTGAATTAGAATAACATTTTAAAAAGTCGAAATATCTATTTACCGTACCGTACCGACCGACGAACCCCTAAATGCTAGGAATACTGCTCTGTGGTCTCACAAGGTACCCCATCCTCAGTGTGCGTAAACAGATTAAGCTGGAATTCAAGGCTTGCGTATATAGACGCAGACAAAGCAGCATAAATAGGAAATGGTTGGAAAAATTATATAAATAACAATACTGTATAGAGGGGAATGTAGAGACTTGCTCGTGCTCTTTTCTCATCTCAAACCGTAATTACTCTGAACGTTAGGGAAGATAAGGGAAGACTGCCTGATCGAAGCGATCGAAGGAACTTGACTTATCCGAACCGAACAATAGCGGTTTAAAGCGTTGCTTATCACGAGCAGTCTCGCTCCTTAATAGGCATTTACTTGTACTTTGTTTTGTCTCTTACTTGTAGTTTGTTTGTGGTGATTAATAATAATTTTCTTTTCACCAAAAAATAAAATAAACCATGGACCATATACCTTACTTTCAGTCGTGCTCTAAAACAAGACTAAAATTATTGTATGATTATAAATTATCTCATTAAGGATAAAATAAATATTTGAAAGTTAAATTATTTTTAAATTTAAAAATGTGACATTCTTTTTGGGACCGATAAAAATAAGTGCCACATAAATTTGAACTAAAAAAATACTTAAAATTTTGAATATTTCTTGTTCTTAGGCAAATGAAAAAAGGGAGGATATTTAGAAACCTATTTCCCAATGAGCTATGCAATTTGACAATGGTCTCATCTTCATCGACAGTAAATTTGCCTCTCTTTAAGTCTGGTCTCAAGTAATTTGTCCATCTTAATCTGCAACTCTTTCCACATCTCAATAAACCTTCATTTAACCATATTAAAAACCTTGCATTACTATAACTAGTAGGTAGTCATAGCATCATATGTAAAACACTAGAAAACAAATACACTCACATCCTAAGCTATATTATCAAACAAATTAAAGTCATTTAATTAGAATGAAGCACAAATTAGAGAAGTGATGTTGGACATATTACATATGTTTCAATACTAATTTATGCACATTTTTGTTGGTTTTTGGTCTTATTTTGTACTATTGAATATGCTCAACTTAGCTTTGATTTTTGAGTTTTGCACTTATTTGGGTGTTACCGGACGATATAAGAACATTGGAGATGGAAATAGGAACACCAATGACGAATATAAAGTAATGTTTGACCAATATAGTAATATCCCCACGAAGGGTGGTCAACTAACCATGATCATCAGAGGCGGACACAGAATTTAAAGATGATAGGGGCACATAAGCGGACTGCTCAACTAGTGCCCCATTGGACATTTGATCATAAAGGTTCCAAACAAAATATATAACCGTTTTAGATATATATACACATATATATATTCGGGACTTTTGTCGAGGTTAAAGGTCTGGTGACCCCTATAATATATACATAGTTCCACCTCTGTGGCCATCCTTCGCTGGGCTATGGCCCCTAGCTATTAGGGTGATCCGAGGTTTGGAAAAAGGTGCTTGCCTTTTAATTAAGAATTAAAAAAAAAGAGAAAAAATTAAATAAAAGAAACAAGGTGCCCTCACCATTTCCATTTTTTTAAAAAAAACTTTTTTCCAAAGGAAAAACAATTGCTTACTCGAGCAACGTACGTAAGTCAGAGATGTATTTGTGGAAATGCTGTTGGCGGAGAGGCCTCTATATAGCAACGAATTTATCAGCAGCATAATTAATGATTCTTTTTATCAGTTTAAATTTTAACATGCAAAAAAAAAGAAGAAAAGTTACATGCCATATACTTTTTTGTATGGTGTGCTTGCAGAGTTAAAATAATGAAAGAAAACGTATATTGGTTTTATATTTTTTGGGTAGAGAATTGAGAGTATTGACGTAAAAATAATGAGGGACAACAACTAGTACTCTATTTAAGTTGGCATCAATTGGATGTGTACTTGATTATGACTTTACACACCAACTACGGTACTACACTTGTACTTATAATGACCGTACTTCGTAAAATGAGAAGGGAGCATCTCTCTCTCTCTCTCTCGTCAAAAGGATCTTCCCACATTGAGAGACACGGAAGTGCCAGATAACACCAGTTGAAGAAGCATAAAGCATTTTTAGCGGTACAAATAGAGGGGTCGTGAAGATATCATCTCATTACTAAAAATTCAGTCAAAAGTCGATCGAATTTGGTTGATTTTACTAAATTATGTAATTAAAAATGTATCATTTGGGAATCGAATTGAGGCTTGTAATGTTGTGGCAGGATACTATTCTATCACTAGACCATTGATGATTTTTGGTTAAGACTTTTTTTTTATATATTACTTATACTCTTTAATCACATTTTTGTGCAAAAATAACCGTACAATTTCGGTCACTTTTTTTAGAAAAATAAAATTTCTAACCAAAATTGGTTGGTTTTTTAAAATGACCGACCGATTTCAGTGTAACGACTCGGCCGGTCGTTTCGAGAGTTTCAGTGTCGTTTCTCCACTTCCTTCTTATTTTGTGTTCTTCAGCTATATTTTGGCTTACCGGGTTAGTTGGTTCGGGTCCGAAGTGGTTTTGGAGTGAATTGAGACACTTAGTCTCTTATGAGAAGGTTTAAGTTGGAAAAGTTGACCGGATGTTCACTTATATGTAAACGACCTCAGATTGAAATTTTGACGGTTCCGTTAGCTCAGTTAGGTGATTTTGGACTTAGAAGCGCATTCGGAATGTGATTTGAAGGTTTTTAGTAGAATTAGGCTTGAATTGGTGAAATTGAAATTTTGGCTAGTAGTGAAAATTTTGATATTGTGGTTGGATTGGATTTCTGAAAGTTGGAGTAGGTCGCTGTTATCATTTCTTATTTGTGTGCAAAATTTGAGGTCATTCAGATGTGTTTTGGTGGGTTTCAACATCATTTGTGGAATTCGGAAGTTTAGAGATCCTTAAGCTTGAATCCGAGAGTATTTTGGCGTTTCGATGTTGTTTTGAGTGATCCAAAGTTCAACTAAGTTCGTATGATGTTGTTGGATATATTGGTATGTTTGGTTGAGGTCCCGAGGACCTCGGGGTGATTTCGGATAGTGATCGGAGTGTTTGGAGTTGGAAAAATGCAGCTAGAGCTGCTGTTACTGGTGTTTCCGCACCTGCAAAGTGGGAACCACTGGTGCGAGGTTCGCAGAAGCGGATTTGAGGCGTAGGTGCGGCTTGGCCCCCGCATCTGCGGTGGTCAGGTGATCGCATAAGCGGAGTCAGATTCGTTAATGAAATTCTGCAGAAGCTGAGCCCTTTTCGTAGATGCGGTTCCGCAGGTGCGGGTTTGCAGGGCAAAAAAAACCCCAACTCAAGGTTTTGTTGTCCATTTTCGATTTTGGATTTGAGGAACTCGGGAGCAAGGCGATTTTTTGAAGGATTTCAAGGAGCAACGTTGGGGTAAGTGATTCTAACCTATAATGGTATAAATTTCATGAATCCATGGCTTTATTCATCATCTAATTGGGAATTTGAGCTAGAAATTTGGGAATTTAGGGCTTGAAAATTGGAGAGTAGATTCTAAGGAATTGAGTGACCAAATGAAGTCTGATTTTGATAAATTCGGTATGGTTAGACTCGTGAGTGAATGTGCTTTGGTTTTGTAACTTTTGCCAGATTCTGAGACGTTGGTCCGGGGGTCGGGTTTCAGCCGATTTCGGATTTTGGCTATGAATTTAGTATTTTTCTTGTGGAATTGATTCCTTTAGCCTATATTGATTGCATTGTATTGCTAGTGGTTAGATTCGGGACGTTCGGAGACTGAGTCGAGAGGCAAAGGCATTACGGAGTCGGAGTTTGCTTGGTTTGAGGTAAGTAACACTTTCAAACTTGGTTCTAAGGGTTTGAAACCCCGAACTACGTGTTGTGTGATTAGTAATGAGGTGACACACATGCAAAGTGACGGGCGTGCGGGCGTGCACCGTGAGAATCGTGACCTGATTTATTCCATAACACCTTTTAATGACTCTTTCTTGTTGATATTCCGAGTTTTATTATGTGATAAAGTAATTGAGCTGTAAACATGCTAGGTGCCATATTAGGGCTTCACGCCGATACTGTTGGGACCCTAGTGGTAGTTTCTTGCTGTTATTTCACTAATTTCACTATTTTTTTTGTACTCAGTCATATTCATACATTTCATATCATATCTCAGTCTCAGTTGTTATTATTGGCATAACATATCATTATTTCCGGGCTAGTTCCTATTACATTGTGAGCCCATGAGTGAGACTGGAGAGTGATGACTGAGTGAGGCCGACAATCTGATTTTGAGTGACAGTTATGGGGTCGAGTTGCACGCCGCAACAGTTATATTGATTATGATAGCGCTTGAGCTGTAGGATCCCCTCCGGAGTTTTCACACCCAAAGTGGGAGCGGATGATATCATTGAGGGATGGATTTCTCTAGACATGGATTTGTCCGAAGTATTAATATCTGGGGATGGATTTCTCCACAGGGTTGGATTACCCTTGTTCCTCGGGACAGGGTGACTTATAGTCAGTGATGAGTATGTTCCGGAATAGATTATTCTGGGTTGGATGTCCATATACAGTACCGAATGATTGAGAATTTATATATATATATTGAGGGATCACCCGACCTCGTAAACTTTGAAAAAAAANAGAAAGTTGCCAACGTTTCTAATAAATAAAGTACGAAGGAACTAACAAATGGTGAGGGCACCTTGTTGTCAGAAAGTTGGGCTAAAGAAAGGAAAATGGACTGCTGAAGAAGATGAATTATTGGTGAATTATATTCAAGCTAATGGAGAAGGTTCATGGAAATCTCTTCCCAAGAAAGCTGGTAATTAATTAGCTAAAAATGTTAATATCTTTTCTTCATTACAAACTTCGAATTTTAGCTGGATTAATGCTGGTAATAACGTAACTCTAAAAAAGCCCTAATTAGCTGGGATAAATACATTTATTTTAAAAATAAAATTAGAATTCTAGAAAGAAAGTTAACAGTTAATTAATGAAGATGCATAACTTTTGAGCATTCTAGAGATGAAACTTTTGTTGATTGGGGCGTGTTTGGTACGAAGGAAATCGGCTTCCAGACACTAAAGATGTCATTTTCAAGCAGCTAAATTTTAATAAAGGGGCTTATAGATATTTTTTTAAGATAATTTATTTTAAATAGTTTCTAACTTGTAGAAGGTGTTGGTTAGTGAGACAAAGTAATTTTTTAGAAAATATTAATTTTCAAATAGTTTTTTTTATTGTCTTTTTTTTTTTTCATATCATGGTAAATAAGGATATTACATGGTGATATGAAGGTCTATTAAGATGTGGAAAGAGTTGCAGATTAAGATGGACAAATTACTTGAGACCAGACTTGAAGAGAGGCAAATTTACTGCAGACGAAGATGAGACCATCGTCAAATTGCATAGCTCCTTGGGAAATAGGTTCTTCTTCTTCTCCTTCTTTCTTGTTTATTTGCCTAAAATCTAGAAAAAAATAATAATATAATTCAGCGTTTTAGATTATGACCCTTCCACAGAACGTCTTGGGCACCAAACTGCCTTTTTTTATATTTTATTTCTAATGATGAATAAATGACGTACATTTCTTTGATATAGATTTTTGCAAGAAAAGTAGTCAACATGGTGTATTTTACATCATCACCGTGTAAGAAGTCAATGCTTTCTTTTATTTTATTGGTCTCTCTTTAATTTTAAATTTTTAGTTTACCCTTATAAATAACATGTTCTTACTATCACATAAATGCATAACATATTTCAAACCATAATTTTAAATGATATTTTTAATATTTAATAAAAAGCTTTCATTATTTTTTAAAACTTCATATTAGGTCAAACAAGGAAGATTTGTGACACGGCCTTACACCTTCAGCAATAATTTTTAATTTTATCACTATTGTAATGTATTACAGGTGGTCTTTGATAGCGAACCATTTACCTGGCCGAACAGATAATGCAATAAAGAACTACTGGATCTCTAACTTACGTCGAAGACTCTACTCCTTCAGATTGCACAAAAAGCTCATCAAAACCACTGCAGAATTGCCTAAAATGGCAGTTGCTGCTGCCGGCAATTGTGAATCCTCGAGAAAATACGGACGAGTAGGTCGTTCCAAGGCTAAAAATTACAAAAATATTAACTCGACCACCTTTGAGTCCATCGGAAAAGTCAAATCCTCATGTTCAAGAGGCAAGGGTACTGGAGTTATGTGGTCTGAAGAGGGTTCAATTGAATCCCTTTTGCCGGAAAGTTATACCGTTGATATAGGTAAAATAAATCTCTTATTTATATTTACTTTCATATGTTTTATTTTACTAGTCTTAGAGTACGCGCATTGCGCGTGCTACCCTACCTCAATAAATATAATATTTTAATTACATAATTTTTATATTATTATAGTTTAAGTTATCAAAAATAAAAGGTAAAGTTAAAAATTGTAAGTTTCTAAAAATGATAATTGTTGATCCTATTTAGCTAACTCAAAAAAGAAGAAGAAAGAAACTCTATCCCATATAAGTTCTTAATTATCTCATTCAATTGACAAAAGACGCCTTCTTTTTGCTCACGAGCAAAATGTAATTTGTTCTATTTCTTTAATATATAAGAAATACCATAAGAATTATTTTCAACATATTAAAAAAAATAAATTACTATCACAAAAAGTAAATTCTACCGCTACATTTTAATTAATCTACTCTTTTTGCTTTTAACTTTCCATGTATCAAGAAATTATATGTATAAATTTATTCAAGAGTATTATAGAATTTTGCAGTTGATGCTTATTACTATACTATAATCGATTTTGCATTAATTTTTATTATTCCACCACAAATGCTATTCCTATAAAAAAAATCTAATTTTTGCACCTAAAAGTTTTGTCAACTGAAAAAAAGGGTTTACTTATATGATGAATTTGGAAAGAAATTGAATGGGATTTATGTTTTTAATTTGTTAATTCAAAATTTTAATATTAATTCTTATTAAAAGAAATGATTTAATTTTTGTTGATTGAAATTAATAATACTAACTCACTACAAGTTTTAAATATTTGACTATAGTTATAATTTTATTTAGAATTATATTTTTCAAGAATAATAAATCAATCTAATATTTAAGTTTGGATATTTGTATTTGCAAAGTTATTCGTATTTTTTTAACTATTGCCAATAGACCAACACTTCTCTCTCTCTTATGTTTTTATAGTTACTTGTTGAAATTATTGAGGTGTAATTAATATTATAGTATGAGATAAATTATACAAATTAATATTAATAATTAATCACTCTCTCATATTTATTTGAAAAGTCTTGTTCATGTCTACAATGGTTTCCATCATCTAACTTTGTGGCATTTATATTTTTCCTCCTCGTAATAGCATAAGTAACATTAAGTTGGTCTATATAAGGAAAACCACATAAATTAGTAACAATTTTTAAACGCACGTACCACTAATATAGGGGTTGTTGATAGTTTTTCCTTTTTTTTTTAACAATTTATTTTTCAATTGATTTTAATGTCCTAATTAATATTAGGATTTCTTATCTAGTTCAAATAAGGAAGAATTTAAATCACAAAATTTAGTTGATCTAAAATTTCTAAATATTAGGAAACAATTTTAAATGTCGATTTTGTCCAATATTAACTCTATTTTAAAGGGGTAAAAAAGGCGAACGACATTTCGCTAAGGACCTTCGTACTTTTAATATAGTATAGATATAGATATGAAGGTGCTTTAATATGCAAGAAATTTAAGAAATAAAAAAATTGAAACCTGTAATTTTAAACATATCATAATATTTTTTGTGCCTATAAAATAATCATACTATAAAGCTAGTATAAACTATTGAAATTTCTCTAACATAAAGTGAAACTTCTAGTGTTGCGGTAAAGGTAGTTCAATTTTACTATAGGTCATAGGTTAGAATTCCAGTGGTGTTACGCTAAACACTTTTTGAATTTCCTTGTTAAAATTTCTGACTCTGCCTCAAAGGACTAGCCATGCAACGACACGAACATCAAGGAGAATCAGAGATAAATGAGTCGAGGAACGAGGAAGGTGAAGACAAGAACAAGAAATACATTAATGTTACACCAGAAAAACAAGATGTGTGGTCCTTTGAGGAACAAGAACTAGGACAAATACATGAACAGAATGAAGGAAATGAAACCGTACTTGAACAGCAACATAATGAAAACTGGCATGATTTTGATAATTGGTGTGACATGAATTTCGATCATTTATATGAGGAGGAATTATGGGATGATCAGTGGAACAGCTTGAACTTGGAGTTTGGATCCAATGAAGAGTGTACTTACTCGGATAACATGTTACTTTGGTTATGGAATGATAAATAGGACTTTTATATATGTATTACAGTATTAGCTAGTGTACGAAATTTTTGAAGATGAACTAATTAAGGAACTTTTCGGCTATAAATATGAGTTTTTAGGTACAATGAAATGGTCCCTAAAAGGTTCTTATAAATGGTCCAGCATAGTTCTTGAAAGACTAAATTACGGAGCAAGAACAACTAATTATAGACCTTATTACGCGTTGTGAAAATCATTTTAATAGCTTCCACGACAATTGCCCCAAGTCTACTTTGCTTCTCTTGGAACCAAAGTTCTAACTCACAAATTAGATGCCTTTTTTTTTACTGTGTATGTCACGACCCAAAATTCGATTAGTCGTGATGGCATCAAATCCAACCCGCTAGATAAGCCAGTTTAACAAGATCCAATTCGAATGAGATTTAACTGAGAAAATAAATGATAAAATATCTGAACTTTTATACAAAATCTCAAGGACTGGTAGTACAAATCATGAACTTCAAATATTTAGAATTTACAAAGCTGGTATGCAATAAAATACATCATTTGTTTGAAATATATATGAACAGATATTTTTTAATTCTAAAGCTACCATGAGTCAAGAGGCATCTATGATCAGAACGCTGGTACATCTTCAAATCTAGCTCCCGCCATACCCAACAATAAGTGTAGTATGAGTACAATCGGCCCCATGTACTCAATAAGTAACAAACTTAACCTTAGGTTGAAAGTAATGACGAGCTGGGATAAAGGTTAGAGTCCAACACCAATAACCAGCAACAATCCATAACAATATAATGAAAGTAACACAAGTAATAACTCACCAATAAAATGCTCAGTTCGTTCACAGTTCTGGAAATGCTTTTCAAGTATAATAGTAAAACTCAAATCCTTTGCCTAAATCACCGAAAACATGACTAAATCTGGAAATTGTGATTATTCTCAAAACTTTCATCATCAAATAAGAAATTTCATTATTAGATGGCATGAGAAAAGAAATACTTCTCTATGCCTACATGTCAAGTATGCATGTCAATGCAATGCATCATAATGATGAACTCTGTACTCACACTCTCAAAGTACTCAATCTCACTGTCTCGCACTTTCACTCATCACACTCAATACTCAGCACACTCAGCACTGTACAGGGCAGATCCAACCCAAACATAAATAAATCCTTACAACCACTCACTCAGTACTGTATGAGGCAAATCTAGCCTAGGGCAGATCCAGTCCAAATATAAATAATAACTGACATTCAATTATTCAGTACTGTATAGGAAAAATCCAGCCCATGGTAGATCCAGCCCAAATATAAATAATAACTGACATTCAGTCATTCAATACTATATAGGGAAAATCCAGCCCATGACAGATCCAGTCCAAATATAAATAACAGCCGTGCTCACTTTGGGTGTGTAGACTCCGGAAGAGCAGATCCAGCCTAGCGCTATAATAAGCAAAATACTGGCATGAATCAATAAAACATGTTGCCGCATGCAGTCCGATCTCATAAATATACTCACAATTTCTCCAGTCTCTCGGGCTCACAATATCATGAATATTAGACCAACATGATGATAATGTATCAATAAATAGTAGCAGAGACTGAGATATGATATGAAATGAATAAATATGAGTATGAAATTTCAATTTAAACATATAACTCAACTGCAGAAATGACTTTCGTGGGTCCCACTAATACCAGCATATGCCTAAGCATAATTTCTAACATGAGTCACATCTTAGTTTCTCTAACATAGCAAATACATGAAAAAATAACAAGTCATTTGACTACACAGCTCCACGGAATCAATTGAGTCACAATTTCTACGGTGCACACCCACACGCCCGCCACCTAGCATGTGCACCACCTCCCAAACCAATCACATAACACGTATAATGAGGGGTTCATACCATCAGCACCAAGTTTAGAAGTGTTACTTACCTCGAACAAGCTGAATCCAACACCGAGCAAGCTACAAAATTCCCCAGAAATTTCATTATGCACGTATCAACCTCCGAATGGCTCAAAACTAACCAAAAGCAATTCAATTACATCAATTAACACCTAAGGAAACAATTTCAAATAATAAAGGACAAATTTATAATTACAACTCCGAAGTCAACCAAAAGTCAACGTGGGGCCCATGTCTCGAAATCCGACCAGTGTTATAAAATCCGAACACTCATTCAACCACGAGTCCAACCATACCAAATTTACCAAATTTCGATTACAATTCGGCCTCCAAATCCTTAATTTAAAGTGTAGAAAATTTCTACTATTTTCAGCCTAAAACACTAATTAATGACAAAAACAACAATAGATTCATGTAATTTAACCAAAATCGAGTAGACAACACTTACTCCATTCCATATGGTGAAAAATTACCTCACAAATTGCTTCAATCCGAGCTCCATAGTTTCAAATATGCTAAAATGACCGAAACCCCCGAAATATAGCTTTTGCCCAGGTATTTACCCTTCGTGATCGCGAAGACCAAGCTGCCAACTCTTCCAGGAAGCCTCTAGTATAATGGTCATAACATTTTGTACATAATTCCAACTTACAAATGGTTTAATTTTCTGAAAATTAGACACCTAGGGCTAAAACTTACCCTTTTGGATCATCTCCAAATTCCTTATAGATTGCAAGATATAAGCTTCCAAAGGCAGTAGTGTGCAGCAGAAATTCCTTCTACGCGATCGCGATTCACAAGGCCCCAAACTGCAGTTTGCTCTTTGTGAACGCGACCAAATATTCGCAATCGCGATGTACACCTTTGTAGCAAAAAACCAACAATTAAAAATGGCCTAGAAATGGTCCGAAACCACTCCGAAACTAACCCGAACCTCTCGGGACCCCGTCCAAACATACCAACAAGTCTCAAAATATATTACGGACCTACTTGAGGCCTCAAATCATACATAACAACATCAAAACGACAAATCGCACCACAATTCAAACTTAGCAAATTTTCGATCTTTCGATTGTCAAAACTCGTACCGAACCATATCAATTCAACTCGGGATGAACTCAAATTTTGTGTACAATTCCCAAATGACATAACGAAGCTACTGAAATTTCCAGCACCACAATCCGAACCCGATATCATCAAAGTCAACTCCCGGTCAAACCTACGAACATTCAAAACCTTCATATTTTCAACTTTCGCCAATTAGCGCCGAAACCTTCTAGGAATATCCAAATAAAATTTCGGGCATACATCCGAGTCTAAATCACCATCCGAACCTAACAGAATCATCAAAATTCCGATCCGAGGTCGAATACTACAAGCCAAACTTGATCAACTCTTTTAACTATAAGCTTTTAACATGAAATCCATTCTTCCGAACTAATTTTGAAACACCTGAAAACCAAAGCCGACAATTCACACAAGTCATAATACATTATACAGAGCTACTCAATACTTCAAATGGCTGAACTGAACTTAAATGCTCAAAACGACCGTCGGGTCGTTACATTTTCTCTTTTGAAGGGAGAATACCTTATATATTCTACTTTTTTTGCTGAAAGAGAACTATAAAGGCCAGAAGTTTCAAAAGAAAGAAAATTATTGTTCTCATAAACTGATCGCATGTATCCTACTTATTTTAAATGTGGAGTCCACTACTCAAATGGTCACTCGACTATTCGAAATTATCTAGTAAAGTCACTTTTCTTTCGTTTGTAACAGAAAAGTCATTTAACTATGTCTATAACACTCTGAAGGTCATTTATAATTGTCTCTCTCTTTTTGATCTGCATTATGAACTTGCCTATAAAGGAAATAAATTTTATTTAAAAAATTAATATTATAGCATATATAATATCAAAATAATAAAATAATTGAGCATAATTTTCAGGAATATATAATGTATATTATAAAAATACCTTTATTTTAAATAATTATTTTTATTTTACGTGCATAGAATATATATTTGATAACAACAAAATTGTTATTACGAACAAATTGTTCTAGTTAAATTATTTACTATGCTCAGTATGTTATTATATAAGATAATTTTATCCATGGTCATTGAACTTTTGTGTTTGTAACCCAAAAATTACTTTTCTTTTTTTAGTTACGTAAAAATCATTCAACTTTATGTTCATTACACAAAAATCACTTTTCTTTCTTTTGTTACACAAAAATTATTTTACTTTAATCTAGTTATCACAAAAGTCACATTTTTACATAAAAGTCTATTATGCCCTTGATATTATATAAACATTCATATTTATGTATTACCTTATATATTATATACTATATAATATATTTTATTTATAGATAAAATAATTTAATATTATTTTATTTATTATTTTTATAATATATTCGTATATTTAATTTTTTCAAGATATATTAGTAGCGTTATAAAACAACTTTTTTCAGCAATTTGTTTTTGTATTTAATTGACCGACCAAAGTTGGTCTGTAATTACCGACCAACTTTGGTCGATATTCCCTTCCGACCTTTAAAATACCGACCACACGTTAATGGTCACGTTTTAGACGGTTATTGGTCATTACCGACCAACTTTGATCAATTTTTTTGGATGGTTTTTACCGAATTTCTAGTAATATAATTTCTCAAATAATCAATTATCCTGGTAAATACCCAAGAAAATATCCCCAGCTAAATTCGCATGTAGTACCTAAAGATTTTCCTTCAGAGTAACATATGATTTTTCCTAATTTTCTTGTTTTTTTACTTGCGAATTTTCTCACAAAAATGTACTTGCCGATTTATTTCTCTAAAAAGTTATTGACAACTTTAATAATGCTACTAATATATTTTAAAAATTAACGTTAAGAAAAAATTAAATATACGAATATATTTTAAAAATAATTAATAAAATAATATTAAGTTATTTTATTTATAAATAAAATACATAATTAAAAATATATTATATTGTATATAATATAGAAGGTATCACATAAATATGAAGGTTTATATAATATCAAGGGCACAATAGACTTTTCAAGTAAAAATGTGACTTTTATGATAACTAGAGCAAAGTAAAATGATTTTTGTGTAACAAAAGAAAAAAAAGTGACTTTTGTGTAATGAACACAAAGTTGAATGATTTTTACGTAACAAAAAAAGAAAA